GGTCACCTCTTCAGAATTCCTTGGCTGTTCCTGGCCAGATGGCTTGTGAGAGGCAATTCTGTTTTCTCTGAAAACAGCTCTGTAGAAAGGGAGCACTTTGTTTTCACATCAGAAAAGGAAAAAAGAAATACAAGTCCCTGTGCTGAAAGGTCTGATTATGCTGGATCGAGCAAAAAATCTGTTACAGAGATACTAATTGCCTGCACTGTTTATGTAGTCACACATTACACCTGCTATTTCCTGTAGGAGTCTAACACCAGTAGAGTTTTCCATCCCAAAGTGGGTATGATGCTGAAATACCACACAGAAAAGGAATTCACGAGGAACAGGCCTGAGCTGTGTTAAGCCAATGGCTTAACATGATTTTTAAAATGAAAAAGCCACCCAGGAAAACCAGATGCTGAAATTTGCCACCATTCAGTTAAAAACTCATCCTTTCCTGTTGTTGAGTAAGCGCTTTCCAAGTTCACCCGTTTTTCCTGGGCTGAGTGACTCATGAACCTGGTAGGAAAATGCACCTGTTTTTAGCCAGAGGTTAAAGCAGCTCTCCAGTTACCAGAGTAAACAAAGGATTTATTTCTGTCCTTAGCAGTTACCCTGCAATGTCCAGGAACACAGGAAGGCTGGCAGGAGCAATCAGGTTTGAGTCAAGTTTGCGGAAGGTCTGTGAACCCCATGGTAAGATGCTCATAGATGCCAATGGGATTTGCCCCATGTCTTTGTTAGAGGGAAAATGGGAAAGAACAGTTGGTGCAGTGATTGTGCTGGCTTCCAAGGACTCCAGGGAGCTGGATGGTGTTTGTCATGGTGTAGGACATGTATTCCTTTGGAGATGTCCATTTCTGCTCTTGGTAAGGAAGCACCTGTCAGTCACAGAGATGTGATAGGTGTATATGCATTCAAGACTATGAGATTGATCAGAGACCATGATAATGGCAGCCATGAGAATGGCTAAAACATTTGGAAATGCGTGTTGGATGTATTGGTATCATGGAAGCTGAGAGGTTCAATTAGCCAGTAGTCAATATTAATCCCAGCATGAGAAATGGGATGTGTTAGACCTCCACTGCAGAGTGCTGAAAAGTGCAAACACATCATCAACTTATTTCAGGTCAGCACTCAAGATGGTATAAAGACAAGATGGATTTTAGTCTTCGTTTAACTGGATTTAATTACATGCGTGATCCTCAAAGTGCCTAAGGCCTAATGGATGGTGACCTAAGGTCTGATAGGAAAAACAGCAACAACCTAACCCTTAAGCTTGCTTGTTAGACCATATGGCATGACTGGACCATGTGATGTTTCAGGGAAGGATGTTAGGAATAAAATACCCAACACATTGAAAGCATTTGCCAAGATTTCCAGCTTCACTCAGAGGAATCTGAACACCGACCTCGCCTGCCCTCTGTACCAGCATGGCTCAGGAGCTTGGCTGAGACAGATAGGAGACAGTGTTCCCAACCACAGCTCCCTGAGAAGTCTCTAGTGCCCTCAGACAGAGCATGTGGACACTTGGAGAAGAAAAGGACCACTTGAATTTTAGGTTTAGACGATCCATGTGGCTAGGAAATTCCAAATAACCAAATTTAAGGAAAAGAAGTGATCATCAAAGGCTCATTATATTCACTTAATTTTGTTTTAATTAGTGTTAGCATGTCAGATACTGTGACAGTCATCTATTTGTATTTCTGGCTGTGCTTGGCTTCAGAGAATCCTGTTTGTTTTCTGGATAAAGTACAGTGTCTCTCTTTCTCCTTCAGACAGCACAATGTGGTTCCAAATAAAGTCTTGGAGAGCTACCATTAAAAATCTAGAAATCATGGTGAAAAAGCTGCTCATGGAAGTAAGACCTGCCAAGACATGGCTAAATGTAACTGCTTGTGGCAGATGTTTATGGGAAAACTGAAAGGTTTTAAATTGCTTAATTATTGGATAAGCAGAAGTGCTCAGAAATGAAAAGGATACAACTTCACTATGCCACTACTTTAAATGAGTGCAGCCTGGTTGTGTCCATCGCAGGAAGTCTGTGCCATGTTGATTCACAGCCTGATCTAGCTCAGATGGAAAAGGCTGGTTGTAACAAATCACGAGCTGGAATGGTTTGAATTTCCAGTGCCTGTGTGGTGCTTGGCATCCATACAGAGCAGCCCCCCCAGGTGCTCCCACTTTGAAGATGATCAGCTCCAGACACTCACTTTCATCTTGGTCACATATCCAACTGAAAGGACCTTGATATAACTGTGTCTGTTTCACATTTAAAAGAGAACTGCTTAAAAGCTGCTTAAACAATTTGTGTGTGTACCTAAGAATCTCCGAGCTTTGACCATATCAATTGAAGCAACCTCATGAGGTGGGTATAATCCTAATTTATATAGGAGTTCAATGGAGGGTGAATGCTTTGCTTTGTGTCAGTTCTGCATCAGGTAAAGGATATCAGCCCTTGCCAGCCTCCATGAATCACTTCAGTGGGCTGACTAACCTCCACCTGCTCTGTCTGTGAACCAGACAGCTAAAAAATGTCATATTCACATCCTCAGCACACTCGCCTTCCTTGCCTGCTGAGTGGTACCCATGCACAGTGTGATGAGGAAGCCTGATGGGCTGTGCCAGCTCTGTGCTCAGTGGGTGAGATTTGTTGGCTCCTGCGTGCAGCAGTGAACCCAGATACGTTTATGGCATAGTTCTGGGGTTCCTCCAACACCTGCCCATTTCCTGGCAAGGAGGAGACCCGGGAACATACTTACATTAATGTCCCAGGTCTCAACCCCTCTCGCAGCTCCTCCATCATGTTTCTTTGTTGTTGTGTGCTGGGCTGAGCTTCCAGCTGGTGGTTTTTCCCCCTGCATGCCCAGTCTTCGAAGTCCCTTATCAAACTTCTCCCTGGGAAAGTTGGTGGTTCACAACACCAGCACAGGGAGTCCCTGGCTCTGGAGACTGCCTCTGCATCCCAGGCAGGGTGCAGTATTGCCCATGCCCTTGGTGACTTGTTTGAGTTTGACTTCACTGCCTGAGCTGACTCACCATGGGATCAGGCAGTGACCAGCACTGATGCAAGGAATAGGGCAGGAAATCCTGACCAAGGAGAAGGGAGAAAGTCACAGTGGCCTCAGCCTGGTCCTGATGAAGGTATCATGATATTGCCCCATAAGACTGATCCTCCTTAAAGAGTAATGCAGCCTGAGAGTTCCACCAGAAATACCAACAGAACACATTTGTTTTGATTTTCTACCTGGCCTGTCACTCTCAAGTGCTTATTTTACGTATGGATCATCCATGGACCTCACAAACCCCCTGGCAGCCTCCTGCTCTTGCTGTGCTTGAAAAAGTCTTATCACTTAAATGTATGCCTTCAGCAAGTTGCTTTTAATTTTATTGTACTTTATTGTAGTTTCACATCCACTTTGTCAGACTTCCTGTTCCCTTCCCTTCCTGAACTCCCTGTTCTTTGAAGAATTCAGTTGTACATCTCAGAAGTGTTACATGGCTTAATCACATTGACTTGCTTTTTCTTTCCCTTTGAATGGTTTCTGTTTGATGCTGAGCCTGTTGCAGGGTGTCTTTAAACAATCTTATATCACCTACAAGTGCTTTACTATTTTTAGCTACTGATTTCAATGAATTTCCTCACTTTTATGTTGTTCCCCTTTTTAAAGGTGATTTGGTACATTTAATCTATGTAGATCTTCTGAGAACTTGAGTCACTTACTTATCTTTCCCTATTTCACATCAACTGTTCCAACATTTATACTGTTTAAACTTGATATAACAGTATTTACTCATTAGTTCTATCTAGAAAGTTTACCAGATACTTGTGTTGCCAATATCCCTGTTTAAAGCCAAGAGTTCTAACTCATCTTCCTTTACTTTGAGATCACTGCCGTTTGTTCAGAAATGGTTTTAAAGGTGGTCATGGGCTAGCTACTTATTTTTGTGTGTTTTGTGTGTGTGTATGTGCACACCTTAATTAACTTGGGCTTCATTGATCAAATTTGGTCTCTGTTTTCCACTTATCTCCATCGCCTTCTGTCCTATCTTTTTTATTATCACAGTGATTTGAGAGCCTCAGCCAAACTGTGCTCTTCCACACCTCTCTTACTCCCAGTTTTTAGTTTAAAACTCTCCTGCAACTCTATCTTCACTGTGTCCCTCCTCCTTTCTGTCTTGTTTGCATAGACCTTTTTTACTACATAGGCTCCACTTGCCTAAATAGCTTTCCCCTTCTTTAATAAACCCAGCAACATCTGTACCCATAGCCTTGCCAGCTTCAAACATTTGTTTTGCATACATAGAACTATTTAATATCAGTTATCATTCATCTCCAGGGTTTGAAGCACTCTTCCTTGCCTGCCCACTTGTGCTCTTCCCTTTGCCACAGTTAATAGCACCATCAGTCATACTGGAAAGTTACACCCAACCGATATTAGGAAATGCTCCCTGCTGCCTTATAAATCCCTGGTGCCACCAGTAACAGCAGAGGAGGAGGAGGAGGAGGTGGAGGAGGAGGCATTCCAAGCATATGGACTCTCAGGCAATTGAAATGAAGCTGCATAGGTCACACACACTACATATCACGGTCACGTTCGCTCATGGTGAAATCTTGCCCACTCAGCATCGTCTGGGAATGTCAACACTTGCCATTCCGGTGGGAATTTTGTGCTCCTTGGAGTCTTCATCCTCACACTGCATTTTGACGATACCTCTAAGGCAATCAGGCAGCCCCCTCTCTCTGTCCCAGCTGCACTTGGCTTCCCATCCCTCCTTGGTGCAGATACAGATATTCATCCAACCCACAAACAGCAGGGAACAAGGTACCACATCAGCTTTGCTGTGCTGTTAGACTACACCTCTTCTGTGCTCTGTGAGATGGGTTCTTCTTTATACACAGGCTTTGTATTTGCACTGTTTACCTCTTCTTTAGATAGCTTCTTATTAAAATGCACAGGGACCGATCAAAACTGGGGTGCACTGTCTCAATGAACACGATGAGCGTGGGCTGAGGGACATGGATGTGACAAACACACAAGAACAAGTGTGACGTCTCTCCTGTTTCCCTTTCTAGATGCTTCCTGAAGTTCTGCACTGCATCTTGCCACCATGCCAGGCTCCCTCTGATCCATGACCACAGCTCTGTGCATCAGACGTCATTCCAGAGCAGCACAGCTCTTTCCCAGGAGATAAGTGAGGGTTTTTTTTTTGCCTACACAACAGCTCTCCTGAGCTTTCCCATGCTGGGAGGGTGGGAGGGAGGAGATCCAGCTTCCTCCCTGTCCGAGCGCCAGCCCCGTGGGCCTGCCATGGCACTGCTGGGAACATCCAGGGGCATTATGCAATTTGCAGAGGCGGTTTTTCATGCAGCCTGGCAAGACAGGGTCTGATAATGGCTCTCCCTTTGTTTGTAGCACACAATCGAGCTCATGATCATCTCTCCAAGTACAGGCAGCCCACGGTGTTATGTCCTGTACTGCTGTGATGACGAGAGCAGGGCTGTGCACAGGAGCCCTGCAGTGCTTTCATCAGTGAATGCTGTGCTAGTTAGGCACAAATCATTAATGGTCTAAAAAGGGCTGGAATAAGCTAGCTCGGCTCTGGTGGAAGTGCGTGTTGTGTCTTTTTCAGGAGGCATGGGAAACCCTTCTTAAGTCTGTTTTTAAGCTTCTCAACTTTGGTTTCTCAGTAATGTCACTGATTCCACTTTCCAAAAGGTCATACAGGGGAATTCTCTTCTGCCATCTCCAAAGAATGACAATGTTCCTCTAATGAAGTAACAAATTGTTCAACACGATGTGCTTAGCAATTACCCTCCCCCATAAAGGCATTAACAGCAGGTACAGTAAGATAAAACAGTTTGTTTCCCATTGTTTTTCAAAGGGCGGAAAAAAAGGCTGTAGTGATTTTTGTGGAGAGTTTGAGGAATAAATACAATTTTATGTCTTTTTGATGCTTTAATGGTTTTTTAAAATATCTTTTAATAGCTTAGAGGTCTATTTATAGACTATCCATTTTAGAGATCGGAAAACATATTCACTTATGTGTTCTGTGAACCTATTTAAATTGTATTCAAATGTAAAGTTGTCCATAACGTATTAATTCAGCCTTTCTGAATGTTCCTTCCCATGTAGTCTCTATTTACAGCATCATGTGCTATTTTCCCCAGTATCATTCTGCCTCCTGCATGATGCTCTCACATTTTGGACTCAAATCCCCTTCTAACGTGGTGGGCAAAGGAGGCAGCCATGCAAGAAATTAGAAGCAAAGACTACAGTGTGTTAGTGAATGCAAATCTAGCACAGATCTAGGTCCATCTGGCAGGAGGAAACACAACCCTGGAGCAGCAGCAGAGTGTTTGCTGGCCTGTGAGTTAGAAACACAGTGTCGCTGCAAATCCAGTCTGACAAGTGTGTGCCGGCATCTCTGACCTCTTCCACTTGGCACCAGTTTCTTTGCATCTTTGTCCAAGAGGCTGATGTGGGAGTGAACAATGGAAACCAAACTGCCCCTCCGGCCCTCAAGCTGGTCCCAGGACATCCTGGTGCACGTGCATTGGCTGGGTGAGGTGAAGGAGAAGTTTCATCACTCCGATGTGTGGGTCAGTAGACTCCAGTGTAATCAGCAGAGTATTTTTCACCAGCATGAAATGAAAAGGAGGAGAACAGGGAGACACATCCACATTTGATGTGAGGGCTGTCTGTGGCTATGTAGTGGGCAGGTCAGATATTGTATCTACTTTTGCTGCGGAAGAGGAGGCAGTGTAACAGCTCCCTGGAGTGAGTATCCCAAGACAGCACCTATTTCCTTGGGCGGGAGGCTCAGATGTAACCCCAAGGCCAGAGATGACATGTCCCATGCAGGATTTCCAGCTTCTGTTGCCTCGGTGACCTTTAGTGCTCCTGCTATGCCTGTGCAAGCAAAGCTCCCCTCTGACCTTCTTTGGTTCACCCACCACTAGTAAGAGGGAAGATGCTGTAGGTAAAGCATCAAGAAATAGGTGCAAAGGAGAGTCTGTGGCTCTGCCACCAAGTTCCTCTGCAATCTTGTGCATGTCATTTCTCACATCTATGCATGAATTTCCAATCTGTGATGTGAAAGCAGCAGTACTTCATCTCACCCATGCACTGCTGTCCTGAATTATAAAATCTTCCAAGAAAACCCTGCCTATTCCCAGGTTAATATACAGACTCCAGCCCATAGGGCACTTTTTTCCTACCTGTTTCCTCATGTTGTGTCTGGGCTTTGCAATGACCATCACATAATGTAAACCGTGACATCCATTTGTGTCCAGCCTCAAAACGTTATTTCATTCCCTGAGGTGTGTGCTGTTATCAGGCGAATGAAATGTCCCAGTCCCCTGGTAATTATTCATTAGGTAAGATTTAATGTGTGTGTGTGCGTGCAGGACTGGCAGCTACAAGTGGATCCCGCAGGAGAGGTCTGTGCGCCAAGCTTATGTCAGCTTTAGGGTAGGGACGGGTGAGTAACCGGAGTAAAAATAACAAAACGGTAAGGTCAGTAGCAGTTTGCAGGAACTTAACCCAAAACCCTTACTTTTCACCCCAAGGCCAAACTTATCATTCAGATCAGGGGGCTGTGAGAGTTGGGCTGGATTTGCGCCCACATCTAAAACAAATCACAGATCTTCACAGAAGCAAAGCAGTGTTTGGGACCCAAATCCCCCTGTGACTGTTCTAGCCGTACATCGCCGAAGTCTGAAGAATGTTTTTAGCTTCTTGTGTTTCTTCCACGCTTATTCCCTGTTTGGTACCAGTATTGCTGTTTTTCTGCTCAAAGAGGGCCTCTGCAATATTCCCTGGCTGAGTACGGGTGGCAGCCTTGCCGCACCAGTTTTGACCAGAGAACATCTGGAAGTCCAGGTGAATACAGGCACAGGCGAAGGAGCAGCACACAAACACATGGTGGACATTATACCAAAGAAATCAAGTGAGTGGAAAGATGTTATTTGGCTGACAGATAAGAGTGGGGGATTGATAAAACACGCAAATCTCAGACAAAACCCAGTTCCTCTGGGAGGCTAGGGCTAAGACTTGACTGCTTGATGTCCAGCTGTCCTGAGCTGGTTGATGTAAGGACTTGACACTGATGGGAAAAGCTGGACTTCCAGGCTTATTTAAAGAGTCTGATAGATTACAGGTGTGGGAAAAGGGCTGATTGGGAGTGTGGGGAACAAACCTTGTCTTGAAGGCCCCAGTGGCAGGAGCATAAGAAAGGGGAAGAGCACTGGTGATATTACAGCTCACAGGGCTCTGGCAATTCAGCCTGTTTGGCTTTCCTTGGTTTCCACCATGTTCTGTTCTCTCTGTCTCTGTTGTTCACCCACATAATTACATAAGATATCACCAGCTAAAACTGCATCTGCCTCCTTAATAGATGGCTCATTATCTAGGGAGGGAAACAGAAAGGGCAAAAGCTTTTATGTGCCAACAGCACTGCGGAGATGTTCATGCGCATTACAGGAGAAGGAAAGGGTGTAACCCATCTGTCCTAATGTATAGGCAGATGGGCTGAAAGAGTCAAGGTGTAATGAAGGTCAGCTTGGCTGGGAATGGGGTGGAGGCACTGCAAGGTTACTCTCTTGACATAAAAGCAATTAATTCTCCAACAAAGTCCCTCTCATGCAGCAGAACAGAGCAAGGCAGCTCTCTCTGTATTTAAAAGTACTCCCACAGCTTTGATCTTTTCCTCTTTTCTGGAAAAGTCAGCTTGCAAAGAGGGTCTGGCCTCATCTGGGATGATGTATTGGGCCATGTGGTGCTGGCCTTGCAAAGCAGCATAGGCAAGCCTGCTGTTCTCCATATTGTGTCATTCAGGAAAACTCTCCTAATATTCCGGTTGCTGCAGTAATGGCAACACACTGCTGCAGTGCCTGGTACCCTGCCTGCTCGGAAATGCCATGAGATCACTCCTTCTCATAACAATATTGTTTCTTGTCCAGTTTCGGCCACACACAGGGTATTTAGCTATAACTGAAAACAGAAAGGCAAATGAGCAAGAACAAGGTCTCCTACCAAAACTCCAAGGACCTTAAAACATGGAACTGTGCAACCATACTAGCCTGAAAACAACCCCTTAGCTTTGCATGCTCTTCAGTGTAAGATATATCCCATTCCAATCAGTATATTGAGACAACCAGCTGTAGACAGGCTTTTCTTTGATTCATGTTTAAAACAAACACTTGTTTTGGACTGAGGACAGAGCTGTACTGGCGCCAGGTATCAGGCCTGGTTTCAGTAGAACCTGTGGCAGATATGTGCTGATCTACCCATATGGTGGTGGGTTTCGTGCCTCTGCCTGTGTTGGCAGGAGACCAAAATGTTGCTGTGGGCTCCCCCAGCCATAAAAACCCATGAAGTTTTGCAGCTGTAGTTTCATTTCATGTCACGGTCTGACCAACCTCCTTCTTACTTGATTTTCTCTTGTTTCCTCTATACGTTTCCCGCACAGAAAGTCTAAGATTCCAAGCTGCATTTTGAGGTTTTAAAATTAACTTCTCCATTTGTGTGAGATGACCCTGGGTTTTGGTAATAAAATGTGCCGGGGGTGGAGGGAAAGAGAGCACTTCTCAGTAGGGGGTGAGTGCTGACGCCTTTAACAAAGTCAGGGTGTAATATGCTGTTCTGCTGACTTCTGCCTTCCTTAATTACCTTCTGAATCCCCAGAAGCTGAACTGTGCCTCACCAGCTCATTATGCCCCTTGGGTTTGCTCTCCACAACAAATAGGTGCTTTCCCTGCAGTCTCTGGAGGCTCTTTGTTGCTGCTCTGATACATTAGATGTGTTTGTTTTGCACATTGATGTTTGTGTTTTCCGCACTGCTTGTGTTTTCCAATTCCTTGGAGCAGTGAGGATGTTGCTGAATTGTCAGAATCGTGGTAGGATGCTGAGCTGAGGTTACTGTCAATGGCCTCATTATGTTAACAAGGGATATTTTAAGAAGCACAAAAGATGTGGCATTTACTTTCTTGGGAGAAGGAGGGGAGAAAGAGGATGTGAATGAATGGAGACTTACACTGCTGGTCCCCCCCACTGTTCAGTTAGAAGTGAATGACTGGCTCTCTCCGGATTTGCTAGCCAGAGCCCTGATGGCTTTCTGATTTGTATTTCCAGGCTGCTTACAGTGTTTGGCTCACCCATGCATGCAAGGCAGTGCAGTCCTTCCTCCTGAAGAGCTCTTTGTCTCTGTTCTGGGTCATATGGGCACCTGAAGCGGGCGTAGCCTTAACAGACACAGCAATGGGACATGCAACATCACAGCATCTTCATGCAAATGTAAGTCAGGGCTGCTGTGGTCTTACTCCCTCCTTCAAGCCAGCACTAGCATTGGAAAGCAAATCAGTTTAGGAAACTGAGCTGCTAGGGAAGTAATGCTATGAGAAAAAAAGTACTTAATTCCCTATACACTTGCCTTCTGGAGGAATATGGCTAGGTATGGGCAGGGCTAAGGAGAAGATGGCACCCTAGTCTTTTCTGCTCAGATGGGCTCTCTCCCTCCAGGTATTCTTGAGGCAGTATATCAAAGAGGAGGATACTGCCTGCAAATCTTCTGACTTAAATGAAAAGGAGACCTCTGATTCAAAGGGAGCATGTTTATTCCCTTCCTCCCTTTTGTCAGGCCATTGGGAAGTAGTTGGCATACCTCTTATCAAAGGAAATGTGGTCCTTTCCTTAAGCTTGTCTGCTCAGTGGTGGTGTGTAAACACAGATCAATAAGGTGACACAAGTCCTATCCTATTACCAGTATTCAGCAGCAAATGAAGCACCCCTAAGCTTAGCATATTATCATTTCATGCATTTACAACTAAAGACTTCGGTAA